GTCATTGTTGTTTGGCGGTCCGGGCTGGGGATTCGAACCCGCCACCTTAGGTGTACGTGGCTGGCGCCTTAGCCGGTTGAGCTATGGGCGCCGAGCCAATGAGCTATTTTTGTGAGGAAAACACTGATGTTGAAAATACATATGAAAAGTTCAAATAAAATTATTATTATTTTTTTTTTTTGCAGTTTTTTGCCGGGGCTGCATTTGAACCCACCACCTCTGGCATATGGGGCCAGTGCCCTACTTCTTTGAGCCACAGGTGCTGCTCCAAATAAAATTATTTTTATTAAGTGGGATAGTAGGGGAAAAAGCATTATATCAAAATTAATATATTTTATTATGTGATTTAAAGTATGTAATAGTGAATTACTAATAAATAGCATAGGTAAGCCAGTTTTTCTACATCTATAAAAGTTGATGTATATAAATTGATAAATAAACTTTTGGATCCTTTTGGGAAAGTAAGAGATTGCCCTATATAGGTAGTTCCTGAGTCACAAATGTCTAATTTATGTACACCTTACACTTATGAATGGAGGCATGTTCAAGTAAATGTACATGTAAATGTACCTGTTCCAACTTACATGCAAACTCAACTTAAGAACAAACCTACAGAACCTACCTTGTTCATAATCTGGGGACTGCCTGTATCTGAGAAGTTATGGTATTTCTTGTAAGTTATAGGCTTTGGGGTGGGCATGGTGGCTTATGCCTGTAATTCTAGCATTCTGAGAGGCTGAGGTAGGAGGATCACTTGAGCTCAAGACCAGTCTAAGCAAGAGCAGAATTTTACCTATGAAAATGTAAAAAATTAGCTGGGCATGGTGGAGCACACCTGTAGTCCCAGTCCTGGCTGAGGCAGGAGGATTGCTTGAGCCCAGGAGTCTGAGGTCACAATTAGTTGTGATGGATACCACTGCATCCTATCTAGTGTGAGAGACTGTCTCAAAAAAAAAAAGGGCTTTGAACATTTCATTCATAGGTAAGCCCCTCAGTAATCACAGCTCACAGCAACCTCCAGTTCTTGAGCTTAAGCGATTCTTTTGCCTCAGCTTCCCAAGTAGCTGGGACTACAGGTACCTGCCGCAGCACCCAGCTATTTTGTTGTTGTTGTTGTCATTGTTGTTTAGTAGGCCCAGGCTGGGTTCAAACCCATTAGCCCTAGTGCATGTGTCAGGCACCCTAACCCCTTAGCTACAGTTACTGAGCCTTAATCTTGTTTTTTTTTTTTTGAGACAGAGCCTTAAGCTGGGTAGAGTGTTGTGGCATCATAGCTCACAGCAACCTCCCACTCCTATGTTCAAGTGAGTCTCCTGCCTCAGCCTCCCAAGTAGCTGGGACCACAGGTTCCTGCCACAATGCCCGGCTATTTTTTGGTTGCAGCCATCATTGTTGTTTGGCGGCCCAGGCTGGATTTGAACCCACCACCTTGGGTGTATGTGGCTGGCGCCTTAGCCACTTGAGCCACAGTCACTGAGCCAGTGCCAAGCCTTAATCTTGGTTTTTAAGTACAATTCTAACAAAGTTATTTGGTTTCTTGGTCTAAAACCATTAAACTAGGGTCGTTAGAAGAAGCTTTTAGAACTTGGCACACCATGAGTATCAGACCGTAATAGGTGATAGTCCGCTAATGGAGGAGGAGACTGAAGACAAAAAACATGTACATTAGAATAAAAAAAAAATTAGGGCAATCTGGGCAAACAGCTGTTAGCATCCAGATTTCCCAAGAAAGGTTAGAGCAAGCACAGGCATATTAAGGAGTGTGGAAACCATAGCATCTCAGTCAATACTGATAGCTAAAGTGGGAAAGTAAATTAAATATTTTTTTTTTTTTTGAGACAGAGCCTTAAGCTGTCCCCCTGGGTAGAGTGCCGTGGCATCAAAGCTCACAGCAACCTCCAACTCCTGGGCTCAAGCGAGTCTCCTGCCTCCGCCTCCCAAGTAGCTGGGACCACAGGCGCCCGCCACAACGCCAGGGTATTTTTTGGTTGCAGCCATCATTGTTGTTTGGCGGGTCTGGGCTGGGGATTTGAACCCGCCACCTTAGGTGTACGTGGCTGGTGCCTTAGCCGGTTGAGCTATAGGCGCTGAGCCAGCTATAGGCACTGAGCCAATATTTTTAAGATTCTTAAAAATGGTTACAGACTGGGCACAGTGGTTTATGCCTGTAATCCCAGCACTTTGAGAGGCTAAAACAGGACGATCACTTGTGGCCAGGAGCTCAAGACCAGCCTGAGCAACATACCAAGACCCTGTCTCTATGAAAAACTTAAAAATTACCCAGGCATGATGGTACACTCTTGTAGTTCCAGTTACTTGGGAGGCTGAGGTGGGAAGATCACTTGATTACTTGAGCCCTGATGTTCAAGGCTGCAATGAACTCTAATAGTGCCACTTTGCTCTAGCCAGGGTTACAAAGTGAGAACTCATATAAAAAAAAATAATAAAATAAAATGGTTACAATAGAAAAGAATATCATTTTCAAGGAGTAAATCTCATTTATCTAGAAATTTTACTTACTATGGTTTCCCTTTTTTTTTTTTGAGACAGATTCTCACCCTGTTGCTCTAGGCTAGAGTGTCATGGCAACACAGCTCATAGCAACCTCAAACTTCTGGGCTCAAGTGAGCCTTCTGAATAATTGGTTGGGACTACAGGGGCCTGCCACAAAGTCTGGCTAGCTTTTCTATTTTGAGTAGAGACGGGGTCTAACTCTTGCGCAGGCTATCTTGAATTCCTGAGTTCAAACAATCCATCAGCCTTGGCCTTGGCCTCCCAGACTGTTGGGATTACAGGTGTGAACTACCCAGCTTGGCCTGGAAATTTTACTTATTTTACTTATTTACTTCCTATTCCAAATAGCCTAGATAAATAAGGTATACCTCTGTAGACTTTTCACTTTGATCTTTTGTGTGTATATGTATCAGAGTATTAGGATAGGATATCAAATGCAGCTGAGCACTATGAAATTATTTGAGATTATTTATAATAATCTTTTTTACCAATGAGCCAACATTTTGCTTTTTAAAGAACCTACAAGGCTGGGCACAGTGGCTCACACCTATAATCCTAGCACTCTGGGAGGCCAAGGCAGGTGGATTGTCTGAGTTCATGAGTTCAAGACCTGCCTGAGCAAGAGTGAATCCCTACCTCTAAAAATAGCCAGGCATTGTGGCAGGCACCTGTAGTCCCAGCTACTTGGGAGGCTGAGGTAAGAGTATCACTTGAGCCCAAGAATTTGAGGTTTCTGTGAGCTATGACCCCACAGCACTCTACCAAGGACAACAGAATGACACTGTGTCTCAAAAAAATAAAGAGGGGTGGCACCTGTGGCTTAAAGGAGTAGGGCGCCGGCCCCATATGCTGGAGGTGGCAGGTTC